CTTTAGGAGATCAATCGATGACTTGGCTGTGAAGTGTGAAGGTCGTTACCAGCAAAATCAGTTGCTTTGTTCATGGCTGTCTTTCCGATTTGGTACCCTAAGACAAGGACACCAATGTTTTTGAACATCATCAGGCGCAACCCTTAGCAGCACTTGTTCATTCGCTCTCAACGGGTAGCTATCCTTCCATTCCCCCTGATCAAAAGGCCGCCGATGTCATTATATTGGCGCATCAATATTATCGGCTGATGCCTTAAAAGTGCAACCATCAACATACCTTCCCGAATGTTTGATGGCAAATGGATATGCTATACAGCAAATACGCGGATTTCGCTCCTAATGATGACGCTGAGGTTGATTTATGTTGAAAAGCAACTTTGCTGTGCTATACTTAATATTTTGTCTCCATATTATTATTTTCTGCTGTACATGCCACCACCAAGTCAAGCCTAATCCAGTGAAACAGGCGTTAGCCAAACGCTTTTTTCGTTTAAGTTTGCTGTTTTCTTCGTTGCAGAAGGTGTAATCTGAGGAAGTCATGCAGTTGAGGGTGGGTTGCCAACTGTGTGGAAAGTATCGATGGATATTAGGCTTAGGTATTGACCAAAAAGTTCATCGAGATTGAACGAATGTGGAAGGTATGGCAAGGAGTATCCACTTGATTAATTATGCACATTCAGCGTCATTGAACGTTTAGAGGACAAGGATGCTATCAGTGGTTTTATGGCGATGTATATGTCTTGAATATGGCCTAAGGAGTCTTTGTCCTTGGAGGCAGCCTGATGTAGTAGATCTTGCGATCTTCGGCTAGATTATCATCATCAGCGACAGTAAGAACATATCAGAAGTGGCTGTCTTGGTCGATCATATTTTCGGATAATTTAGACACGATTGTGAAAGTGAGGAGTTGTGGTAACATGTTGGCATGTTTGTTGGGTTTGATGATGCCAAAACTAAATGACAGACTTGGGAAAGTTATCAGGGTGGCCTGAAACATTGGGTAGCCTTCAAATGCCTTTTAGCTAAAATTGGTTGCTGTAGATCACAACAGAGCCGATTTACAGGCGCACGACGGGGGCTATTTATCGGTGTCCGAGAACAGAATCCCCAGTTGGTGAGAGTGGCACTTCAGTTGAGTATGGGGTGGTACAGGTAAGTTGGAACGACGGAGCTGTGCTTCTGTTAGGCTAAGGGGTATAAGTTCCGAGGAGATAATAAAGTAATGATCAGGTGTTCTAAAGAGGCCGATTTGACACCAAGTAACCTTTAGCTCACTGGTTCTTTGCCATGGATACACACATAGGCAAACAGGCAAATATTCGTAAGCTACTTGAAGTCTAAAGCGATTTGATCTGACAATTGGCTTTCATGCAACCCTCCTGGACTTTGACTCCGCTTCATTCATAAATGCATTTTATCGTTCTTCCCTCATTTTCTCTGAAATGACTGCGTGCATACAGAATGTAGAGACCTTATTATTCCCTGAATGCCTGCAGTCACTGCTAGCCACTCTTGACTGATTTTGCCGTGTGCTATTCGTTTCCCGGGTTGACGGCAGTGACTCGGTGACTGGCGACCCAAACTCATACCCTTCTGTTTCGAGAAGTATAAGTTCCGAGGAGATAATAAAGTAATGATCAGGTGTTCTAAAGAGGCCGATTTGACACCAAGTAACCTTTAGCTCACTGGTTCTTTGCCATGGATACACACATAGGCAAACAGGCAAATATTCGTAAGCTACTTGAAGTCTAAAGCGATTTGATCTGACAATTGGCTTTCATGCAACCCTCCTGGACTTTGACTCCGCTTCATTCATAAATGCATTTTATCGTTCTTCCCTCATTTTCTCTGAAATGACTGCGTGCATACAGAATGTAGAGACCTTATTATTCCCTGAATGCCTGCAGTCACTGCTAGCCACTCTTGACTGATTTTGCCGTGTGCTATTCGTTTCCCGGGTTGACGGCAGTGACTCGGTGACTGGCGACCCAAACTCATACCCTTCTGTTAAGTTCGAGAAGTAGATTCCAGTCTAACCACAGTCCTTGTGCATTACCTGGGAAGCTGTTTCTCAACCGTTTATCATTTGTATGCTGTCCCTGTTCATATCAAAATCATTACCCTTTACACAATGACTGGATTTCTTAGCTGGCTAACAACTACAGCCGTTCCCCTGTTATCATTCATGCACTCGCCAGTTCTAACTGGTCCAACGGATAGCCACCATGCTCGCTACCTCGGCGGCTGAGTCACCACTTCCCAAAATTGGACACCTACTCTTGCCCTGGCCGTAAGCCCTCTAATCGACCGACGCTCAGTGCAGAAATGAGACACAGTTCGTACCACTAATGATAACTGTCCCCGTCGAACTCAGATCCAGCTCCGCAGAAATGCGTATTACCTGTCTGATTGCGGCAACCTTGTTGACCGTTACGGGGCTGCCCGGAAACTGAGGTATATAACTGACATTGTGGCATGGCACTGCCACACTCAGTTTGATGACACTCCCCCAACTCTTTTCTTCTTCCTCTTGACCGTCATCTGCCACCCACCTGAGACTCTAACTTAAATACAAACAAATTTTCCAGCCTGCCCAAACTGCCTGTTGGTCGAGTTCGTTCTCACCTGCTGACCCTTCAGTTCGGATTAAATTTACCTGGTTTTTCGCTACAATTTCGGTTTGCCGGCTCCACAAGTTCAGTTCTATTCACTGTGTTCTTTCGGCCCTGTGCACTGGCACTTTCTCCTCTTCGAAGCTATCCTTTAGAACTGACTTTCCCACAACAGTGGTACCGGTTGATGTACATGTTTTCATTGTAAACCGTATTTTTGTGACACTGGCCACTTACTTAACCATCCAAGATCACCCATAGCCAGCAGTGATCTCCAGTTTTAGCTCAACTCAATTGGCTTCATCATTGAACTATTCGTGCCCCACGGCTATTGTCTTTGTTTTTTTGTTTCCGCAACTACGGTGACTCGTTGCCCCGTTGGTTGTACCTTCCTCCCAGTTGTGTTGTTGCCTGCCGTGTTCAGGTTGTAAGGACAAGATTATGCTCCAACTGATCTGTTCCATGCAAGTAGGGATGTATACATATTATTATAGTATTGCAACATCAGTGTGAATGCGATTGCTTCATCATTGACGACGAAAAAACCAGTGCCTTGTATTTAGAAAAATCATTTTTCGCGGATGGTGGTTTACGGATAAAGTAACCGAAGGTCCGCCCGGTGTGCTGTACCATTGCATTAAATAAATAAAGACATTTCGCAAGTAGTGTTGTCGTATTTTTCAATTGCTGACATGTGGGGCGACAATGCACAATGTTATGATGTTGAAAAACTATGTGGCCGTTACACCAGGCCGCTGTGCATAGTCGAGGCTCCAAACATCGCCTCACAAAGACGGGCCGAGCAGCTACGAGGAGTAGCTGTGACCTGAAAAATGAAGGAATGTAATGGTTTTCCATGCTTTCCAGCAGGGTCGTAGAGCTTCATGACTTAATCCCTCCAAGTAACCTCATGCTTTCCAATACGTAATTGATATGCGGATACCAGAAAACGCTACATTATCTTGTTACCAGTTGCGCATATTTGGGAATGTGCATCACTCACAGAGACGCATGCTCGCATCAGTGCTGCATAACTCATCAAGATGTTTTCGATCATTATACCGAACGCGAAACAAACTTTATGCTGTCGAAGATGTGAAAACAGTTGTTACGTATGACGAGTTCAACGCATGCTAACTTTATTCAACCGATCATCTGGACGTAATTTGTAATGAATATTCTGTAGATGTGAGCTCCCATTTGAAGAACACCGCAAAACTTGAAAATACGCCCAGATGAAATGTCGTGAGTTGTCTCTTAAATTGGTATTTACATGCGAATTGACATTGGTCGATGACCTTCAAAGTTCTTTCACTTAAATAAAAGTCTACAAGAGGCATTCCATCCAAACGTCCAACCTGATCAGACTAACTGCCAGGAAAATTATCAGCTCCGAAAACCACATAGATTTGGCAAAGTCAACGTCCGTTTGCCTCTGGTGACCGCCCTCTAAACTGGTCTGTGATCATCCGGCAAATGCACCTTTCATCAGAACATTTGTGTCGAATAAGATTTTCGCTGTATGTGTGCTCAAACCACCAACTAAATAATTGAAATCGCCCAAAAAATCTCCCTTCCTGATTTTTATGCAATTGTAAATTTGCAATACTGTGGATGCTGGTAGGTTTGGTGAGAAATTTGTGGCTGTCTGGTTTTCATTGGTCAAGGCGTTCGAGATGGGGTTAAATGAATACACGAAAGACTCTGGTGTGTTATTTATGCGTGCAGTGGATAGCCAATGCAACGCTGTTTTATGTTACACTTGCATGTGTTACAAATTTAGCGGATGGCAAGCAAAACCTGCGGAATGCCGGGAGAGGTGGTAAGTTGGGCGCATTTGCTAATACCAAACGGTACATGGAGCAACAGTTGTATGATTAGAAACGCGAACCATCTCTCCGTCAAATCTTAATATCTGGAAGACAGTAAGCTAATCACTTTTTGTAAGATCGACTTCTGGAAAAACTAACAAATAACCGTCAGGGACTGAAGCCTTTGCAGGGTCTGCTGAATTTTGGAGTGCCGCCGCGTAAATTGCGGCGATTCGTAGCCAACGACACAAACACATCACAGCTAAGCTGATTTACAACTGTCGTCGAAAGCGACAACCAGGTGTTTTGAGTGAGTGGCGGATGGATGTATTATATTTTGACAGATTCTGTGCTTTCCGTCTTGGCAAAGTTTTGCGGTTCCGGAAGGGTATATTTGTGTAGTCCGGCAAAAGACACTACGGCCACGTACGCTTCAGCAGGTGGCGGAAGATAACGCTGTTCAATCACTTCCCGGATGTAAGAGATGCCGAAATTGCAACTGCTACAAGCAGATTGGAGAGTCGTTAAAATTACAGTGTGGTTTGAAGTGACAATAGGTTTATTTCCCGACTTGTAGGCCCTACCAATCCCGATTGTCCTCGCTGACACCACCCCTGCACCCTTCTGCGATGCACTGTGGGTCCAAATCCCGCTGCGCGGGTCCGATTCTCTCCTTCTCGGTGTGGTCTACCGTAGCCCTTCGAGTCCCCCTGAGGATGACCAATTCCTCACACAAACCCTCGGGCAACTCTCCTCCAACTACCATTTCACTCATCTCCTGCTGGTAGGTGACTTCAACGCCCCAAAGGCCTCCTGGATTGCACTCCAGCGCGTCGAATCAGGCGGACCTTTTGCAGCAGCGCTGTTAGAAGTCGTTCAACAGAGCGCTTGGACCCAACATGTCGCTGCACCCACCAGATACCGCGCAGGCAAACA